ACCTATGAAGAATCTGGAATGCATATCCTGGTCTTGCAACAAAGAGAAGTTTACAATGTAATGGGCTTATGCTTTGGCTTCCAACTAGTAAGCCTGTCTAGCCATTCTCTTGTCAAGCTGGATTACTGTCAGCTTGAGGTTTAAAAGAAATATTTTCAGATATACATTCAGATATTCAATAAATATGTGTAAGGTAGTAAAATAATAAACTTTCCCCCTAGAGCAATTAATAATCTCTTGTGATGTCCTATTACAAATTAAACACATAACTATTGTTAAAACTTGAAAATACAAAAATGAAGAATGCATGATCCCATTTATATGAAACTTAAGAACAGGCACAAACTAATCTGTGGTGTTAGAAATCAGTATAGTGGTCATCTCTGAAAGGAATTTTAGAGACAAAACAGGCAGTCTTAAGGAATAAATGCAGGTCCATGGGAGAAAAATGCATATATGAAGGGCAGAAATAGCTCCAAGATGCCAAAATGCTTATCTTACTTATACAGAGGATAGAGAAATGTCACAGGATAAGGGGGGAGAAAGACATACATTCACAGAGGATAAAGAAAAGTGACAAGATATTGGGAAGAAAGAAACATTTTCACAGGAGATAGAGGGATATTGAAAGATAAGGAGGAGAGAAAGAGGGGGGCACCATGTGGGCTTTGAGCTTTGAAACTGGTACTATGTAGCAGAATGACCAATGAGGAAAACAAGGGGGTCTTAAATTGAGGAAGGGTACAATTAGAAAGGGTCAGGTCTAGACAAAGAACTGCAACATATATAAACCAGAGACAAAGGAACACAGACAGATTTTAGACTTTTGGATTTAGATTTTTTCCCATTAGAGAAAGAAAGCAGGCTTTTTTCATTTGGGGGCCCCTTCCTTGGGGAAGTTTGCTTCCAATAAACTTCCACATTTTTATTAAAGAAGACTTTAGTCTGTGAGTTTATTTTTCAAACTTCATGAGGACAAGGACCCATGAAAGAATCTGCATCCTCAAATCCATGTTTCATCTCTATGGGTGATTACTCTAGGTACTGTAGGAAACTTTCAAGAGCACTAGAAAAGAAATATTCTATGATATGATTCAAGTGGTGATCAGTGTGTGTCATAGTGACCAGTCATTCCCAGTTGTTCTGCTGTTAGGGTCAATTTGCATATTACCCTTTTATTATATAGGAGTGCCTAGCCAGGCTGGGTGAGGGGCTGATGGCTGTTTGCAGGCTGGCCACAGCCCCTTCAGGGTAGGGGTACCCCCTGGAGTGCCTGGCCAGGCTAGGTGAGGGGCTGATGGCTGTTTGCAGGCTGGCCACAGCCCCTTTAGGGGGGGGGTACCCCCTGGGGTGCCTGGCCAGCCAGGGTGAGGGGCTGATGGCTGCAGGCTGGCCCCAGCCCCTTCAGGGTGGGGGTCCCCACTAGGGTGCCTGGCCAGCCTGGGCGAGGGGCTGATGGCTGTTTGCAGGCTGACCACAGCCCCTTCAGGGTGGGGGGATCCTGCTTGGGTGCCTGGCCAGTCTGGGTGAGTGGCTGATGGCTGTTTGCAGGCTGGCCACAACCCCCAGCCTCCCAACCTCCCAGTGGAGGCTGGCTGGAAGCAGGTATCTGGGATTTATTTGTCTTCTATAATTGAAACTTTGTTGCCATGAGCGGAGGCCACAGCCAGCTCAGGGCAGGTGGGAAGCTTGGCTTCCTCCATCGCCTGGGCAAACAAGCCTCCTGCTTACTCCAGCCCCGTGGCTGCCGGCCACCATCTTGGTTGGGTTAATTTGCATATAGTCACTCTGATTGGCTGGTGGGCATGGTTTAAGGCATAATGAAGGTACAGTCAATTAGCATCTTTGTCTTTTATTAGTGTAGATGGGCAGTGGTTTGAGCTTTGGGCTTGGTGAACTGGGAGAGAGCTATGTTGAACCCTTCTTTAGTTTATGAGAGTACCAATAGAACAGGGAAACAAAAGTGTTCTCTATTTTACTTAAACCACTATATTTTTAGAGTCTACATAGAAGTCAGACTTGGGCGAGTCTTCATGAGAGTGTACAGAAGACAATTTTGAAACCTCTTTGGAGTTTCCAATTATTACAGGAGGACTTTGCATGGACAGTGGCCTTGGTTAGTCAAGTTTCTGGAGCAGCTGTTATCCTTTCAGCACTATAAAATTGCCCTGCATAGGGGCTCAAGGACATGGACCGGCTTTGTATTATGATATTGAAACCGGGACAGTGAATGGGTCTGGGATGCCTGTCACTAGTTGAGCCAATTAAGCAGAGACAGGGTTGAATCATATATGAGTGTTTATTCCAATAATGACAGCCACATGGGAGAGCAGCAGATCATCCACAAAAATCTGCCCTCCCCCTCCCCGACCCCCCCCCCCCCCCGTGCCCCTCTACCCTTCCAAGCATAAACCAGCTGGTTATATTGGGTAGAAGGACAAAGATTACATGGGAAAGTAGGAATTACATGCATGGGGAAGTAGGCAAGGTATACAAGGTATAATGGTTACAGGTTACAGGTAATGGGTCTGGGGCAGGGGTGGGCAAACTTTTTGACTCGAGGGCCACAATGGGTTCTTAAACTGGACCAGAGGGCCGGAACAAAAGCATGGATGGAGTGTTTGTGTGAACTAATATAAATTCAAAGTAAACATCATTACATAAAAGGGTACGATCTTTTATTTCAATAGTTTTATTCATTTCAAACAGGCCGGATCAGGCCCGCGGGCTGTAGTTTGCCCAAGGCTGGTCTGGGGGGTCCCAAAGGGTGGGTGCCTCAGGGACCAGATTGTTTCAGCAACAAGTTTGTTAATCTTTCCATGAAGATAGGCAGTTCTCAGAAAAGAATAATGGACCACATTCAGAGGTTAACTCCCATGTCCTGGGGCATACAACTCTCAGCCAGGTCAGAATGTGCTTTCTCTAGTCAGAACAGAACAATCACAGTTAACATAGCATGATTAATATTTCTTATAACTACATCTAGCCCCCACTATTCTATTTCTGCCTCTAACAATATCATAGCAGTGACTAGTGTAAAAATCCAGCTAAGTTCCCACTTGTAATGCCAAAATATATAGAGTTCTGAAAATGATGCAGATGCTTTTAATGTATTAATGCATAAGAATTTGCAAATAGCAGTCATTAACACCACTACTTCTACTATTTTCAACTATTGACAACTACAATTCCAATAAATTTTCCAACTGGTCTTTATATTCAGGGCAACTTTAAAATGAAGTAATAACTTATTTATCATCTTGATACTGTGAGACTCTTGTAAAACAGTTGTGCGAAAAGTTTCAAAATGATATTTAGGTTTTGAAGGATGAGTAACTGTTTGGCTGGCAGATGGAAAGGCCAGTCCCCTCAGAGTGAAAATCAAGTGCAGTGTCAAGGAGAAAATGAAAGTACTAAAATACTATAGTATAGGGAAATTAGGGATTTCCATACAGTTTTTAAAATAAGAAACAAAAGAAAAACAATTTCTCCAGTGCTTGGCTCCAAATTATTAAAGGTCTGCATAAGAAGTGTGATACAGTGATACAGTTATGATAAGCAGATTTAAGATTGGCTGGTGTTGCTCAGTGGTCGAGCATTGACCTATGAACCAGGAGGTCAGGGTTCCATTCCTGGCCAGGGAACATGTATGGGTTGCAGGCTGGGATCCCCACTAGGGGGCGTGCAGGAGGCAACCAATGGATGTTTCTCTCTCATAGATGTTTCTATCTCTCCCGTTCCCTTCCTCTCTCTCTAAAAATCAATAAAAAAATTTTAAAAAGTAGTTGGTTTAAGGTAGGGAAGTACCACTCACCTAATATGTTTTTTTAAAAATATTTTTTATTGATTTTTTTACAGAGAGGAAGGGAGAGAGATAGAGAGTTAGAAACATCATGAGAGAGAAACATTGATCAGCTGCCTCCTGCACACTCCCTACTGGGGATGTGGCCACAACCAAGGTACATGCCCTTGGCTGGAATCAAACCTGGGACACTTGAGTCTGCAGGCTAACGCTCTATCCACTGAGCCAAACCGGTTAGGGCTCACCTAATATGTTTTGAAACCCTAAGACCATCACAGCAGATGAGGATGAGGAGAGAGCAGGGACTGGGCAGTGTGAATCTCGGCCTGTTGGAAAGGTGCTCATCTAGCTAGGAAGATGTTTGATCTCAGTCTTCTCAGCAGTAGCTTGGTTTTACACATGAAGAAACAAGAGTAGTTAACAAAGTCCCTGAAGCCTCTATACCAGTGGCTCTCAACCTTGGCTGCACATTAGAATCACCTGGGAATCTTTTTAAAATCCTGATTTCTGGGTCTCATTCTCCGGAAATTCTGTTTCTTTGTTACTAATGTTGTGGCCCCACCCCATAAATCAGGATTTTAAAAAGATTCCCAGGTGATTTTATATTCATTGAGTGGTCCCTTGACCTGCAAAATTGGAATCACCTGGGACTGTATTGCTAATAAAAATTCGTAGGCCCTCTCCCAGTTCTACTGAAACAATCTGCATTTTAACAAAAGACAAACAGGTTTTGCTACTAGATTTTTTAGAAATGTTAGCCTAAAGGCCAAGGAGTAGGACCTCTAGGGGGCCCTGACTCTATTTCCATTGAATTCTATTACTGTTGTATCTTGAAGCTTTAATAGACCCTGTGGGCCCCTCAGTTCCACTGCTCTTTAGGCTTAGTCTTGAGAAGGGTCCAGGGAAAATGCCCTTCGCCAACGCCATCTTAAAATTCTGCCAGGCCATGGCAAAGTGAAATGTCTCTGGGATTTGGGCTTCTGTGGCATGTTTTCCAGCTATTCTGGTGACACCTCTGATCCCGGGGTTCTCTGGCCAGATGCCTGCTTTCTTCATTTGAATTGCCAAATCTCGCGCAGCTAGGGCGACACTGTGTTTCAGGCGCGCGAGACTTCCGACGGTTGCCTAGCGATGGCGTAGACACTAGTACTAGGCGGATCAAGTCCATAACTGTTGGCGGGTTACTTAGAGGGCAGACATGCACACGCCAAGGGGCTCTCTGATCCCTCGAGAAGTGGAGACTCCGAAGGAGTTGCAACTGCGGGTGACTCCGGGGGAGGTGAAGTTTCAGGACACGATGGCGGGGAAGGTGTACCGCCAATCAATTACTGTCCACAATGTGGGCCGCAGCAACCAGAAGATCCGGTTTCTGGAGCCAGCCAAGCCACAGGTAACACACCCAGGAGTGCTCTGAACAGGACCTTGGGAGGACTGGACTGAGACTGCCTCCTCACTTGGGCACCTGCTTTGTCCTGGGAAGTGAGTAGGCACCTGGCTCCTATAGGGATAGGGAGGAGGATTGGGCTTCCTAGGGAGCGGTGATTTAGGTTTCTCTATGTATGTGCGCTCGCCTTTGTTTGTTTGTTTATCCATGTACTGAGGGTTGGGACCCAGAATGGGGAAGTTTGATGTAGAACCAATTTCTTCATTCTGGACTTGGAAAGAAGGGAAGAGGGTTCCATGTCTGTCGCGGCTTAGCCCAGAATCTATGCCTCATAATACTGTAGAATTATGACGACAAACCTTTGAACCATAAAGTGCCTGACTACTCCAAATATTATAGGATAGTGGGAAGGTTTATTATTCACATTTTAAGAAATATTTGTTGAGCACCTACTATAAAATAGACAGTAGGTGTGTGGAATGCAAGATGGACATAGCCCTGCCCTCAGAGGACTTAGAAACTCACAGGGTATCAATAAAGGTCTAATCATTAGCAAAAATAAATGTTCTGAGAGGCTGTCCCCATCTTTTAACATAAAAGTTGACCGAATTTCTTCTCTATCTCACTGTTATTTTAGAGCATGAGGATGAATGGATGGTTATTAGTTTACTATGATCACCCATTATCAGGGATACTTTTGATATAGGAAAGGTGAATAAGAATTTTTGATATGTAAGTGATAACTGATTTTTTCACGGGATATTCCTAATGGTTAATAGTATTGAATTCAGCTGGACTTATATGTACAGAAATGGAAAGGTATCTGATTTTGTTGTTAAACTTACATGTATTTGTTTGCATATACATAGAAAAATGTACCACAGTGATTAGGAGGGCAATGAGAAGCAGGACTTTCATGGTCTACCTTTTACACTTTTAAAACATTGATGTACCATTTATCTACACTAAAGTGCCCAAATCTTGAAAGTAAGTCCTGATGAATTTATATATATGTATATGCCCATGTAGCTCCCACTTGGATCAAATCATAAAATGTTTCTAGTACAATAGATGGTTTCCTACAGTACCTGGAGTAATCACCCCATGGAGATGACCACTATACAGTGGGGCCTTGACTTAGGAGTGTCCCCACTAATGAGTTTTTTGAGATACAAGCTGTCTCTACCCGATCTTTTGCATTGAGTTGACAGAGTAATTTGAGTTAACAAGCTCCTTAATGAGCTCCTTAACGAGCTCAGTCTCGGAACGAATTAAACTCGTAAGTCATGGCCCCACTGTACTGATTTCTAACACCATAGATTAGTTTTGCCTATTCTTGAGTTTCATATAAATGAAATCACGCATTCTTCATTTTTGCATTTTGCATGTTTTAATAGTAGTAATCTGTTTATTTTGTAATAGGACATCACAAGCGACTACTAGTTGCTCATTAAATAAAAAAGAACCTGATTCCTCCCAATACTATATAATTAGGGGGAAAGTTTATTATTTCACTACCTTATTAATTATTTCACTTCTTATTACATATTTATTGAACAATTGAATGTATATCTGAAAATACTTTCTTTTAAACCTCAAGCTGGCAGTAATCCCAGATGTGGGCGAACACTATACGGTGGGGCCTTGACTTACGAGTTTAATTCGTTCTGAGACCAAGCTCGTTAAGGAGCTCATTAAGGAGCTCGTTAACTCAAATTACTCTGTTAACTCAATGCAAAATATCAGTCGAGAGACAGCTGGTATCTCAAAAAACTCGTTAGTCAGGACACTCGTAAGTCAAGGCCCCACTGTATTATGGATGTCTCCTGGTTTTTATGCAGATAGAACAATGACATCGTTTATTTTTTTCTGGTTTGTATTTATAATTAAAAAGAAAACTATTTAGACCACAGGTCTTGTCATTAACAGCAGAATGGTCAGAAAGGCTTACCTAGTTAGAGGCCAAAGCTATGAGCCCATTACACTGTGAATTTATCTTTGTTGCAGGACTATGATGTGCATTCCAGATCCTTCATAGGTATAATTGGAAATGAGGAAGAGGTAGATTAGCAAAAAATGCTTTCACTATCTTGGAGGTTAAAAGAAAAATAAGCTTCTATGTAGAGAGCATTGTTATCACCATTATTATCATCACTAGAAGGCCTGTGCACAAAAATTTGTGCACTGGCAGGGAAGAGGGGTCCCTCAGCCCAACCTGTGCCCTCTCACGGATCACCTGTGGCTCGCCCCACCCGCCCCACCCACCCCGCCCAAGACACTGCAGGCCCGGATCCCACGCTGGGGCGGACAGCAGCTCGGATCATGCTGCTGCTCACCCCGATCGCCCTGCTCGCCCCGGCCACCCTGCCCAAGACACCACAGGCCAGGATCTCGCCTTGGGTGGCACAGCGGGATCTGTCGGCAGTATGCAAATTAGCCGCCATCTTTGTTGGCGGTTAATTTGCATATATCGCTGATTAGCCAATGGGAGGCATAGCAGAGGTACGGTTCATTTCAATCTTTGTCTATTATTATATAGGATTAGAAAATGGTTCTAACACATGGTGGTACTTGTTTTCTACCCGGGCTCATGATTGTGCATTGTCTATGTAGTGAGTACCTACTATGTGCCATATAAAGTGCTATATACCATTTACTTATATAGCCTAGGCCAACTGCACTTATTCCTAGCCCACAGTAATCATGTTCTCTTGAGGATTTTTATGATACTTATGAAATCTGCATCACTCATATGATACTTAATTAGTCCCTGGCTTACATTATTTAACTTGCAAAGGGCATTTAGTCTGCTTCCTTAAAGAGATTATGCATTCATTAGAGGGACTCTGTCTAGTTGTGGGGAAAGAGCTTAAGTTTTAGAGGCAGATAGATGTGTGTTTTGAATCCTCACTGCCTGAGTGACTTTAGACAGTCATTTCACTCTACAGGTTCCAGTTCCCTCATCCATATGCTGGGACCCATAATATCAGCCTTATAGGACTGTAGAAGTGCATTGAAATGTAGAATGCTTGATCTATTGTAAGTGCTCAACAGATAGCAGTTCTCTTTGTCCCTTATTTTTTTTTTAATGGAGTCTAGTAAATATTTAAAAAGGACAAAAGTGTTTTTTTCTCCTTTGGCATATTTCTTTTTTACATTTCCTCCAAATTATGAAGTTGGAGTTCCCATGTGGAAAGTACTAGTATATAAGATTCTATATGTATGTGTGAATGTATATATGTATGCATGTGTATATATGTATACATGTATGTGTTATATATGCATACATGATTGAGTGACATTTTTATTAGATTGCTTTTCCTATTTTTCTATATTTAAGTACCTCTCAGCATTTACATATTTATCAATTAACTGCATTGCCAGTTTCAGTGATCAAACTGTTAAAAGCATATTGGAAGGATCTAGAACAGCAGTTCTCAACCTGTGGGTCGCGACCCCTTTGGTGGTCAAACGACCCTTTCACAGGGGTCGCCTAAGACCATCCTGAATATCAGATATTTACATTATGATTCATAACAGTAGCAACATTACAGTGATGAAGTAGCAACGAAAATAATTTTATGGTTGGGTCACAACATGATGAATTGTATTTAAAGGAACAGAAGGTTGAGAATCACTGATCTAGAATCTGAAAGGTATAAATATAGTCAGTAAGTCTTTTCCTTTACGGAAGCAATATTACCTACCCTAACATATAAAAACTAAGGGTCTGTAACAACCGAAGGCTTGACCAACCAGACGTCAATCCTGCAGTCAGTACTGGGTTGCCGGGGCGAACCACTACTGACTGCCGCTGCTGGGGGAGCAGCGACCCAGCACTGACTGCCGAGAGGGGGCTGCAGATCAGGCCCAGAGAGAGACAGGGTCTGATCCGAAGCCTCCGTGGCAGCTGTTGATTAGCCGTTGCCTCTCTCTTTCTCACTGGGCTTCGCCAGCAGCCGCACCTCTGTTTCTCTCTGGGCCTCTGCGGGGGCTGCTGATCAGCCCTGCCTCTCTGATCAGGCCCAGAGATAGGCCTGGAGATGCTGACTGGCATAGAAACTGACCAATCAAAACCAAATCTGGGTGAAGTGCAAGGAGCCAATGGCTGCCTAGAAGGCGGAGCTTTTGACACTGGCATAGAAACTGACCAATCAGAACCAAATCTGGTGAACTGGGAGGAGCCAATGGCTGCCTAGGAGGCAGAGCTTTTGATGCAGACTGGCATAGAAACTGACCAGTCAGAACCTTATCTGGGTGAACTGCGAAGGCAGAACATAAGGTGAGAGCTGAGGAGGGGTTTTAAGGGCAACAGCTGTTTGGTGTAAGGCAGCGGTTCTCAACCTGTGGGTCATGACCCCTTTGGGGGTCGAACGACCCTTTCACAGGGGTTGCCTAAGACCATTGGAAAACACATATATAATTACATATTGTTTTTGTGATTAATCACTATGCTTTAATTATGTTCAATTTGTAACAATGAAATTGGGGGTCACCACACCATGATGAACTGTATTAAAGGGTCACAGAATTAGGAAGGTTGAGGACCACTGGTGTAGGGTGTAAGAAAGTGGTTCAATTTTTTAATGACCGGTTTGGCAGTATAGTGCCTATGGCTGGTTATCAGTCCAGATATAGGGATTATATATTTTTGTCTGCCAAGAGCATCTCCTTCTGCTGAAAAAGACTCCTCCCCCAGTTTAAGCAATCCTATCCTATATAATCTATCCTATATAATAAAAGCTATGTGTCCAGTCATCCGGTCGTCTGTTCAACCAATCAAAGCATAATATGCTAAGGCCGCTCAACTGCTCGCTATGACATGCACTGATCACTAGGGGGCAGACAGTTGACCAGCCTACAAGTTGCTATGATATGCACTGACCACCAGGGGGCAGATGCTCCAACCAGTAGGTTAGCTTGCTGCTGGGGTCTGGCCAATCAGGACTGAGTGAGATTGGCTGGACATGCCCTGGAGCCCTCCCACAATCTCTCCCTGGCTGGCCCACCTCTCACATCCCTCCTCAGCTCCAATCATGCACCAGTGGGGTCCCTTGGCCTGGCCTGTGACCTCTCGCAATCTGGGACCCCTCAGGGGATGTCAGAGAGCTGGTTTCAGCCCGATTCCACTCAATGCAGGAGCTGCCCCCTGGTGGTCAGTGTGCTCCCACAGGGGGAGCACCACTCAGCCAGAAGCTAGGCTTACGACTGGCAAGCGCAGTGGTGGTGGCAGGAACCTCTCCTGCCTCTGCGGCAGCACTAAGGATGTCCGACTGCCGGCTTAGGGGAGTGGGCCTAAGCCATCAGTCAGACTTCCTCTGAGGGCTCTCAAACTGCAAGAGGGCGCAGGCCAGGCTGAGGGAACCACCCCCCGAGTGCATGAATTTTGTGCACCGGGCCTCTAGTCTATACTAATAAAAGGGTGATATGCTAATTAGACTGGGTCGACAGGCCATCTTCTGGATGTAGGACTTCTTCAGGACAAAGCCATGCTGGTGGGGGCCGAGGCAGAGAGGGCAGTTGAGGGGGAGATCAGGCCGGCAGGTTAGGGCCACTGGGGGCAAGATCAGGCCTGCAGGGAAGCGCAGTTGGAGGTGAGATCAGGCCGTCAGGGGAGGGAAGTTAGGGGCGATCAGGCAGGCAGAGACAGTTAGGTGCAATCAGGCAAGCAGGCAGAGAGGTTAGGGGTGATCAGGCAGGCAGGCAGGTGAGTGGTTAGGAGCCAGCAGTAGCAGATTGTGAGAGGGTTGTCCGACTGCTGGTTTAGGCCCGATCCCTGTGGGATCACCTCCCCCCACCCCCTGTGCAAAAATGTTGTGCACTGGGCCACTAGTCCTATATAATAAAACCCTAAAATGCAAATTGACTGAACGGCAGAATGACCAGTCGCTATGAAGTGCACTGACCACCAGGAGGCAAACGCTCAATGCAGGAGCTGCCCCCTGGTGGTCAGTGTGCTCCTATAGGGGGAGCGCTGCTCAGCCAGAAGCTGGGCTGAGGGATCCCCCTCAACCCCCCAGTGCAGTCGTGCACTGGGCCTCTAGTGTCTTGATATAGCTCTTGAAATAATGTATATACCTAACTATAGTTGCTCACATTATTCCTTATTAGGAGTTAAGACATGTAATTTGATTTTTTTCCCATTGAAGTTCAAACTGGTTTTGCCAAGTATGGATAAAGAAATTGCTTCTGGACTTCAGATGACAGCTGTGGTGGAATATCATCCTAATAAAAATGAAGATATTTCTGACCAACTATTTATTGCAGTAGGAAACAAAGCAATAGAGGTCCCTCTTATTGGGTATGTATGCTTCACATTTCATACTGACATTTTGAACACTCTTCAAATAAAAATTAGGGTTAAAGTAATATTCATTACATTCCCTGGCTAAAAGGGCTTGTTGTATTTATAGTTTCCTTACCGCTGAACTTACTGGACAAATGTTTAGCAAATTGTGATTTAAAACAAATGACTAGTTTGCTGCTATATTTTTATTAAGATAACTTAAAAACATTTAACAATTGCATGTATTCTTTTTTTCTTGATCTCACATCCTATTTTATTTCCCCTATATTTTTTTGGTACCTATAGACAGAAAGATTTAGTAAAGAAAGCTCTAGCCTGGCAGTTGTACACACTGGTTGAGCATTGACCTATGAACCAGGAGGTCTTAGGTTCAATTCCTGGCCAGGGCATATGCTGGGTTGTGGGCTCGCTCCCCAGTTGGGGGCGTGTAGGAGGCAGTCGATCACTGATTCTCTCTTACCATTGATGTTCCTATCTCTCTCTCCCTCTCCTTTCCTCTCTGAAATCAATAAAAATATATAAAAAAAGAAGAAGAAAAAAGAAAGCTATATTTGTCTACCAGCTGCAGAATTAATATTGAAATATTAATATGATGTTGGTATTAGAATATGCCATTTTATTTTTTTCCTTGTGTTTTTGTATTTTTCTAAACCAAATTTAGATCTGCAATTATTTTGGTTCTCTGCGTTGTTGAGAATTTCTGATTTTGTATATCATCCCATTCTGCATAGGAATCAAACAGTCGATACACATTAGAAAATAGACAACCTATTAACCTATTACAAATATTTAAGTTACATTTTGTATTTTATTTTAAGTAGGGCCATTTTGGGTCCATTCTGCATATTGACATACCTATGACTAGCATTCAGATTTGCTTGCTTGTGCTGTATATGGAGAGAAGTGTTGAAGATACTTCTGCCTTTGAAAATGGATTTTGTCTTATTCCCATAGCATGCCCTCTCTCATCAGAGGCCAACTGCTCACCAGAGTTGCAATATAAGGACAGTGCTGCCCCCTTAAAGTGTGATGAACAGTGCTGAAGGGAGAAGTAGTAGGCGAGCTTGCTGCTATATTTCTTTCTTTCTTTTTTTTTTTTTTTTTACAAATGCAGTTGATTGAGGATAAATATGCAATTATAAGAAATAATTGTGCATTTCCCTCAATGGTAACATTTTGCAAAAACAATAAGATAATAGAACTAGAAAATTTACATCGAACAATCTACCTACTGTATTCAGATTGCCACAGCTTGACTTAAACTCCTGTGTGTGTATGTGTGTGTGTATGTATAAGCTTTTAAATTCTATACAATTTTTTCTTAACTGTGTAGGATTTGATATCTAGTACCACATTCAAGATACTGAGTAGTTCCGCCCTGACTGGTTTGGCTCAGTGGATGGAGCATCAGCCTGCAGACTGAGGGGTCCCAGGTTCAATTCCGGTCAAGGGCATGTACCTTGGTTGCAGGCACATCCCCAGTAGGGGGTGTGCAGGAGGTGGCTGATTGATGTTTCTCTCTTATCGATGCTTCGGACTCTCTATCCCTCCCCTTGCTCTCTGTAAAAAATCAATAATATATATATATATACTAGAGGCCCGGTGCACAAAAATTTGTACACTGGCCGGGGGGAGGGGGGTGTCCCTCAGCCCCACTTGTGCCCTCTCACAGTCTGGGACCCCTCGGGAGATAACGACCTGCTGGCTTAGGCTTGCTCTTGGGTGGCAGAGGGCTGTCCCAATCCCTAGGTGCCTGCCCTGCAGCTCCTGGTCGGGCTCAGAGCAGGGCTGATTGGGGAGTTGGGGCGCCGCCCCCTGTCATGCACAGAGCAGGGCGGATCAGGAGGTTGCGATGCCACCTTCAGTCATGCTCAGGGTAGGGCCGATTGGGTGGTTGGGGCGCCGCCCCTGTCACACTCAAGGCAGGGTCGATGGGGAGGTTGCGGTGCCACCTTGTCACGCACAGAGCAGGGTGGATCAGGGGGTTGTGGTGCCATCCCTGTCACATACACAGCCGGCCGATCAGGGGGTTGGGGTGCTGCCCCCTGTCACGAACAGAGCAGGGCCCATCAGGGGGATTGGGACTCCGTACCCTGTCACACACAGAGCAGGGCCGATCAGGGGGTTGGGGAGCTCCCCCCTGTTACACACAGAGCAGGGCCAGTCAGGGGGTTGGGGAGCTCCCACCTGTCACGCACAGAGTAGGGCCAATCGGGGGTTGGGGAGCTCCCCCCTGTCACGCACAGAGCAGGGCCGATCAGGAGGTTGTGATGCCACCCTCAGTCATGCTCAGGGTAGGGCCGATTGGGGGGTTGGGGCGCTGCCCTCTGTCACACTCAAAGCAGGGTCAATGGGGAGGTTGGGGCGCCGCCCCCTGTCACCCACAGAGCAGGGTCGATCAGGGGGTTGGGGCACTCCCCCTTGTCACACTCAGGGCAGGGCCAATGGGAAGGTTGCGGCTCCACCCCGTCACACACAGAGCAGGGCCCATGGAGGGGGTTGGGGCACCGCACTCTGTCACACACAGAGCAGGGCCGATCAGGGGTTTGGGGAGCTCCCCCCTATCAGGCACAGAGCAGGGCCGATCAGGGGGTTGGGGAGCTCCCCCCTATCAGGCACAGAGCAGGGCCGATCAGGGGGTTGGGGCGCCTTCCCCTTTCACGAACAGAGCAGGGCAGATAGGGAGGTTGTGGCCCCGCCCCCTGTCACACACAGAGCCACAGGGTGATCAGGGGGTTTGGGCGCTGCCCCCTGTCACGCTGCTCCAGGGGCCAGGAGGTCTCGTGGCTCCGCTGATCCTAGTGCTAGGAGGCCTCGCGGCTCTGCTGATCCCAGTGCCAGGAGGCCTAGGGGCTCTGCTGATCCCAGATTCTGGAGGCTTTCTGGATCTGCTGATCCCAGGCCGGGAGGCCTCGCGGCTCCACTGGTCCTGGTGCTGGGAGGCCTCACTGCTCAGCTGATCTGGAGCTAAGAGGCCTCGCTGCTCCACTGATCCCGGTGCTGGGAGGCATATTACCCTTTTACTATATAGGATAGAGGCCTGGTGCATGGGTGGGGGCTGGGTGGTTTGCCCTGAAGGGTGTCCTGGATCAGGGTGGGGGTCCTGATTGGGTGCCTGGCCAGCCTGGATGAGGGGATGATGGCTGTTTGCAGCTGGTCACACCCCCTTCAGGGTGGGGGTCCCCACTGGGGTGCCTGGCCAGTCTGGGTGAGGGGATGATGGCTGTTTGCAGCTGGTCACACCCCCTTCAGGGTGGGGGTCCCCACTGGGGTGCCTGGCCAGTCTGGGTGAGGGGCTGAGGACCGTTTTCAGGCTGGCGGGTGACTGAAGCTCCCAACCTCTCCTTTTTTCCTTTTTTTTTAATTCTGGGATTTATTTACCATCTATGGCTGTCACTGAAGCTGAGAGCTGGCTTTAGCTATGAGACCTCGGCTGCTGAAAGCAGGTTTCTGGTCTTTGTTTACCTTCTGTATTTGAAACTTTGTTGCGACTCCTGCTCTGAGATCCTGGCCGTCTGAAAGCAGGTTTCTGGGTTTTGTTTAGCTTCTATATTTGCAACAATGTTTCTTAGAGTGCAGCTCAGAGCCCAGCAGTGGCAGGCGGGGAACCTTGGCTTCCTCCGTCACTGGAGCAAGCAAGCCTCCTGTTCGCATCAGTTGCCTGGCTGCTGGCTGCCATCTTGGTTTGCAGTTAATTTGCATATCGCCCTGATTAGCCAATGGGAAGGGTAGTGAGGTTATAGCTAATTACCATGTTTGTCTTTTATTAGATAGGATATATATATATATATATATATCCTATATGTATATATATATATGTATATATATATATATATATATATATATATATATGATACTGAGTAGTTCCAATACCACAAGGATATCTCCTTTTACTTAAAAAAATTGTTGATCCTCACCCAAAGATATTTTTTTCCATTGATTTTTAGAGAGTGGAAGGGAGGTAGGAGGGGAGAGAGAGAAAGAGAGACATCTATGTGAAAGAGACCCATCAATTGGTTGCCTCCTCCACATGCCCTGACTGCAGCCAGGGATTGAACCTGCAACCCAGGTCTGTGCCCTTGACTGCTAATCAAACCCAAGACCCTTCATAGGTCAGGCCAACACTCTAACCACTGAGCAAAACTGGCTAGGGCCTCCTCCTGTTACTTTTTATAATTACAACCAACTCCCTCTAACTCACAAGCACCATCCCTCAACTGGAATTGTCTAATCTGTCTTCCATTTCTAAAATTTTTTTCATCTCAATTATGTTGTATAACTTTTTTGGATTGACTTTTTTTCACAGCAAAATTCCCAGGAGATATAACCAAGTTGTTGAATATATCAGTAGCTTGCCTCTGTTTATTCTTTTTAAAAATCTTTATTGTTGAGAGTATTACAGATATCCCCCTTTTTACTTTCCATTGATCCCCTCACCTGGTTACTGCCCTGCCCCAGGCCTTCACCTTTGGTCTGTGTCCATAGGTGATGAATATATACATATATACATACTAGAGGCCCGGGGTATGAAATTCGTGCATTGGGGGGGGGTGTCCCTCAGCCCAGCCTGCACCCTCTCCAATCTGCGACCCCATGGGGGATGTCTGACTGCCAGTTTAGGCCCGATCCATGTGGGATCGGGCCTAAACTGGCAGTTGGACATCCCTTTCACAATCCAGGACTGCTGGCTCCCAACCGCTTGCCTGCCTGCCTGCCTGATTGCCCCTAACCGCTTCTGCCTGCCAGCCTGATCACCCCCTAACCACTCCCCTGCCAGCCTGATCAATGCCTAACTGTTCCCCTGCCGGCCTGGTTGCCCCTCTGCAGGCCTGGTCACCCCTAACTGTCCTCCCCTGCTGGCCTGATTGCCCACAACTGCCCTCACCTGTCAGCCATCTTGTGGCTGTGGGCGCAGCCATCTTTGAGGGTGTGGCAGTCAATTAGCATATTCCCTCCTTATTGGCTGTGGGCACTGCCATCTTTGCGATGGCCTA